GAGACCCAACTGTGGGAGTGCCTTGGTGGGTGCAGTGTTCTGTAGGCGTGGCTTGGTGGCTTTGTAGGCGTGGCAGGGGAAGGATATACTGCAAAATCCTCCTTCCCTTCCCTCCCCAGCCCACTAACCTGCTTTCCAGTTCCGTTCTCCTGTGTAGGGCAACCAAAGAAGACCCAGCCAATCAGCTATGGGCATGGCTTGGTGGGAGTGGTGTTCTGTGGGCGTGGCTTGGTGGGCGTGGCTTGGTGGGCGTGGCAGGGGAAGGATACTGCAAAATCCCCATTCCCTCCCCACTAACCTGCTTTCCAGCTCCATTCTCCTGTGTAGGGCAACCAAAGAAGACCCAGCCAATCAGCTATGGGCATGGCTTGGTGGGAGTGGTGTTCTGTGGGCGTGGCTTGGTGGCTTGGTGGGCGTGGCTTGGTGGGCGTGGCAGGGGAAGGATACTGCAAAATCCCCCTTCCCTCCCCACCCCGCTAACCTGCTTTCCAGCTCCGTTCTCCTGGGCAGGGCAACCAAAGGAGACCCAGCCGATCAACTGGGATTCAATGGGAGACAGAGAATAGACAGGTTCTTCAGAACCGGTCCGAACTGGCTCAACGCCATCTCCGCTGCTTCTTGTTTAAACCCTGTCCTGTGTCCCTCCCTCCCAGGGACCCCCGTGAACCGGATCCCCATCATGGCCAAGCAAGTGCTGGATCTCTACTCGCTCTATCGGCTGGTGACTGAGAAAGGAGGCCTGGTGGAGGTGATCAACAAGAAGATCTGGCGGGAGATCACCAAAGGCTTGAATCTGCCCACCTCCATCACCAGCGCGGCCTTCACGCTCCGCACACAGTGAGTCGCGGCAGCCGGGATGCAGGGTCTGTGCCACGCGTGGGACACGCTTTAGGCCTGTTGGCTCAGGATTGGGCCTTGCAGGAAACAAAAGCGGAAGGTGGTTGAAGGCTGGGGAGAGTCAGGATCTCTTCATACGTGGGCACGGAACATAGAATCGTAGGATTCTGGAAGGGACCTTGGAGGTCTTCTAGTCCAACCCCCGCTCAAGCAAGAAGACCTATGTCACCTTGGACTATGATTGTCCAGTCTCTTCTTGAAAGCCTTCAGCGATGATGAAGCTCCCACAGCTTTCAAAGGCAACTTCTGTTCCATGGGTGGATTGTCCTCACTGTCAGAAAATTTATTCTTATTTCCTATCTCTCCTTCTTCATTTTCCATCCATTGTTCCTTGTCTGGACTTCCTCCTTCCTTTCCTCACTCACATTTCCTTCCTCCCTTCCTTACATCCTCCCTCCCTCCCATCTCTTCCCTCCCTCCCTCCTTCCCTCCTTCCCTCCTTCCTTCCTTCCTTCCTTCCTTCCTTCCTCCCGATACAGAGATTAACAGAGTTGGAAGGGACCTTGTAGGTCATCTATTCCAACCCCCCACATAAGATGGCTGTCTGGTCTCTTCTTAAAAACCTCCAGTGATGGAGCAGCCACAACTTCCAAAGGCAACTTCTGTTCCACTGGTTGATTGTTCTCACCGTCAGGAAATTCCTCCTTATTTCCAGGTTGAATCTCTCCTTGGTCAGTTTCCATCCATGATTCCTTGTCTGGCCTACAGGAGCTTTGGAAAATAGCTTTGACCCCCTTTCTCCTCTCTAGGGCAGCCCCTCAAATAGTGGAATGCTGCTATTGTCAACTCATAAAACATTTTGTATACCCGTTTTATAGTTGACAACAGAAAGAAGGGGTGGGGAACTTCAAAGAGCAGGCGGCAGTGTGGAATCGAAAGTACATTCCATTCATATTTTCTTCGAAGACTGATTAGATGACTGAAGCTTCTGCTGGGGAAAATATCTAATTGGAGAGCGTGATTGATGACTCTGGGCTATGGACGTGTTTCGTTGGATGATACACCCGGAGGGGGGTGGAGGGAAAGTAGCATCAAGGGTGACAATGAATTACGTATCTCAGAGTTGGCTACGCCCAGGTTAGTGCCGGACAGAGAGTGTTACCTTCAAATAAATCCTCTTTAGAGTGGAGTGTGGCCAGAGGCTCATGATTTAATTGGAGTAACTGCCGGAACCCGGACAGCTTTCTTGTCTCCCCTGGTCCGTCTCTTCCCTAGACCAGCCAGGTCCAGTTCCTGCAACCATTCTTGGTATGTTAGAGCCTCCGGTCCCCTCATCCTCCTGGTTGCTCTTCTCTGCCCTCTTTCTAGAGCCTCCACATCTTTTTTATCGTGTGGCGACCGACTGCAGCCCTTCTTTTCATTAGACTAGACATCCCCATTTCCTGCAACTGTTTTTTGGATGTTTTAGCCTCCCGTCTCTTAATTTGTGGCTCCTTTCTGCAGAATGAGCAGTGGGTGGGGGGCTGGACTAGAAGACCTCCAAAGTCCCTTCCACCTCTATTATTCTGCGAATTAATCAGTGGAATGGCTTGCCACCAGTAGTTTTGGGTTCTCCATCACTGGGGATTTTCAAGAAGAGATTGGATAGCCATTGTCCAAGATGGCCTGGGGCCTCCTGCTTGAGCAGGGGTTGGACTAGAAGACCTCCAGGTGCTCCATCACTGGAAGTTTCCAACAGGAGACGGGACAGCCGTTTGTAATAATATAAGATCTCCTGCTTGAGCAGGGGGTTGGACTAGAAGACCTCCAAAGCCCCTTCTGTTGTGGCCCACCAGTGGCCAGCGAAACTGGCGGTAGACTTGGACGGGGAGGAGGTTGAGGAGGAGCATGGGCCGGTCCTGGAGTCAGGGTGAGGCTCTGAAGAGGGCTCTGTGTCAGAGGCAGAGAGGGGGCCAGGCTGTCTGACAGTTACAAGCTGCCTTCGGAGTTGGAGATCAGTGGGGAAGAAGAACAGCTGGAGCCTGTTCCCCATGTGCGCATGCACAGAGCTGCCAGAAGAAGGGAACAGCTAAGGAACAAGGGTTGATTCAGGAATCAAGGCTCAGGTGGACAGTAAATGGCCCCTCCCATAAGGAATAAAAGAGGAGCGAAAGGGGAGTGGTTCTTGCAGGAGACAATTAGTTCAATTCATTAAGGTGAAGATCTATTCCTGACTTCTTGCCAAGTCATTGCTGCTACAGTGTGGAGTTTAGAAGCTATCGGTCTGACAGCTCTCCAAGCCTGATCAAGGTGTGTCGTTGTGAATGAATCTCATGAAAGTTTGTTTGCCGGGACTTTGCTGGAGAGGAATTCCCTTTCACCTAAATAAAAAGTGGTTTTATCGGGACGAGGAGTCGGCTTCCTGATCTCGGGAAGGTCTGGGTCAGGACGCCTTCCGTCCCTGTGATCCTATGTTCTATGTCCACGTAGCATCTCAGCCGTGGTGACGGAAAGGGGCCCCTGCCAACCTCTCTGCTTCTCCCCGCAGGTACATGAAATACCTCTACCCTTACGAATGCGACAAGCGGTGCCTGAGCTCTCCCGGCGAGTTGCAAGCCGCCATTGACAGCAACCGGCGGGAAGGGAGGCGTCAGATGTTCGGGACCGCCCTGTTCAGCTACTCGCCGACAGGCACGCCGGCCACCCTCGCGTCCCCCAAGGTCCCTCTGCCCTCCCTCACCATCGCCGCCCACAACGGGAGCCAGGTTGGACAAGCCCGCGCCGTCAAAAATGGTGAGGGGTCAGACTGGCTTGGGGTGGCGGGGTGGGAGAGAAGGAGAGGATGTCAGAGCGTTTGCAGCGTGTCTGCAATATTAAACAACCCAGGAGCAAAACACAGAGAGCACACAGAGAGGCTCAGTCATTTAACTAGTGGTTTATATACAACGGTTACATCTATAATCTATCACGCATCATCACAAAATCTCCAGAACTATAAAGCCTACAAACTTGGAATTTGGCACCTATGTTCCTCTTCGCTTCTAGGGGCTCCCTAAGAAAGGATTTTTCCAAACGACCATCACAGCATTTAGAGCATTTCCTATATTATTATTATTATTATTATTATTATTATTATTATTATTATTATTA